ATATAAATAATGACACTAAAAATAAGCCTCTGTTACAAAACAAGGCAAAGTTATTTACATATGAAAAACATTTTTGCTTTTATTTATTTTTGTACAATTTTGTGCATATTTTTGCAACACAAAACAGGAATTTAAAAATACCAAATGAAAAAGGCAAAATAATGTATAATTAAAAAAAACCTGAACATAAAAATGATAGCTAATGGGAAGAAGGAGGAGAAGGGGGTAACTAGGAATACATTTTGAAACTGAGAGATCTCTCTGTACAAATGCCTATGGAGGTGTTATTTATTTGTTAGGCTGCCCATACACCTTACAACCATCGCACGACTTTCGTTGTGCGATGGTTGTAAGGTCATTAACATTTTGTACGACCTGCCCATCTTGGACAGGCAGATCGTACTTGTTTTTTTGTAAATTCTTTATTTAGAAGAGATTTTTTCCTTTTTACATAAAACACGCAGGGTACAATGGGTGTCAACAATGGCCCACAGGGGCTATGAAACTTGCATAGACATAACATTCTTACATAGGTAGGACACACCAAAGGCCCGTCAGGGGCTTGGGATGTTGTTCAGGTGCATAATGCTAATTAGTAGCTACGGAGTACGTCAAGCACCCCGTGGGGGCAGATCATAGAAAGTAAAGTGGGCAGATATTACCGTTCGCATTGCAGGTTTAACAACACATACAAAGGGGGGAGAACAATAAATAAAGTGGATAAAGGAAGGGGGTAGGTGAAATGGTAGGACCCGTATGGTTAAGGGTGTCGATCAGACTCCTGGGACGGTGGCAATTCCACTTGGGTGTTTAATGAGTGAAGTGATTGGGAGCTAAAGTCAGTGGTCTACTTGTTATCACCAGGGTTAGGGCTCAATAGGAGCTCGAAACGGTATTCTTACAGGGTCTTCATATGGGAAACAGAGTAAGTTCAAATGAGGGGAGGGGGGCGGCAGCAGAGGGTGTAAGGGGAATGAGGGTGGGGGGAGCAGAGGTAGGATGGGGATTAAGCATGGTGAAGGGTAAGTGGGAGGGAGAGGGACCAGGGGGGTAAAGATTGGATTGGGTTTCACACGTCAGAGCCCTGACGTAGGGCCATATAGGCCGGAGAGTTGAGAAAGTCTATCCAGTAGAACCAGGTGGCTCTAAATTTGGCCGGGGGTATTGTTGAGGGAGCTTGTAAGGTCCTCCATGAGATATATTTCTTGGATCCGGGCTAGCCATTGATGGACCGTAGGGGGTTCAGGGTTTCTCCAACGGGCTGGGATACAGGCCCGGGCGGCATTGATGAGGTGGCGCAATATGGAGCGTTTGTAAGTTTTAATTGGGAGGGTAGTGTGGTGTAGAAGGAAGAGGGCCGGATCCCGTGGCAGCGTGGGGTCTGTGAATTTTTGGGTGGTGGCATGGACTTGGTCCCAGAAAGTTTGTAGAGTTGGGCACGACCAGAATATGTGCAGCAGGTCTGCCGATGGGGCGTTACATCGCCAACAGGTGGCCGGCGTTTGAGGGTACATAGAATGGAGGGCCTTGGGCGTCCTATACCACCTGGTAACCAATTTGTACCCCGCCTCTTGGTACTTGTTGCTAATTGATGATTGGTAAGAGAGTGTCAGCAGTTTCCTGCTGTCGCTCGGGTCCAGCCGGATCCCGAGGTCCTCCTCCCATCTCTGTAGAAACCACGGTGTCGTGTCGGGGAAGTCCGTTATGAGAAGTTTGTAACAAAAGGAGAGGACATGGCGGGCCTGGCCCTCTTGATCACATTCACGTTCGTATGGGGTCAGGGCCCTAGAGAGCTGTGAGGGAGGTGGGAGAGATCGCAGAAAATGGGTGATTTGCCTGGACCTCCATGGATCTAGGGGTTCGGGGCCCTGCCGAGTGGTCACTGTGAATTCGGAGGGCCATGAGGGGCCAGCCATGAAGTGGGCTGCCCTGAATTTGTGCGTGGTACTGAGAGATTTGAAGCGTGCATCATCGATTCCAGGTGGAAAAGATGGGTTTCCCAACACGGGGGATCATGGGTGATGGAGAGGGGGACAAGGTATTGAAGGAGGACCTCGCCACCGATAGAGTGGGCATGATGGTAGGATGTGAGCGAATGTCTGGAGGCAGAGGGGTAGTGCACCAGGGGAGTCCCGGGAGTGGTGTCTTAGAGAAGGATTGTTCGAGACCAGTCCAGAGTTTTGAAGTTTGGTGGCGGCACCAGTCTATAACTCGAGACAAGTGGAAGCGGGTCTGGGGCCTCCCACCCGGTGCACTCTGTCAACTTCCATGGGGGAGTTCGGGGCCTTGTCCAGGACCGTATTAAGGATGGCAATCACCGTGGGTCGGAGGTCGGCTGCAGTCGTAGCTTCCGGGAGCCCTCGGAGCTTTACATTGTTCCGGCGGGACCTGTTTTCCAGGTCATCATGGGCCAGGAGCATGGCAGATAGCTGACGGTCATAGGAAGTCTGCCGGGATTCCAAGTGGTCGATCCTGCGGGTCAGGTGAGACTGATCTTCGGTCAGGGTAGTGACCTTTGCGTCTAGTTGGGAGACCGTGGCATGGATGCTGGCAATATCCCGTTTGAGCGTGGTCTCCATTTTTGCGACCACGGCGGCCATGTCCTGCCTCGTGGCGAGAGAGAGGAGTATGTGAGAGATTTCGCCGCTGGAGAGGGACTGTGTGGCTTCCGAGTGTTGCTGAGGAGTGGGAGAGAGAGGGATCACTGGTTCCACTATCTGACTGGGGCTAGGGGGTATCGCGTCTGCCATCCGCGGTGTAGGGGAGTCGGATCCTATGACAGGCGAGGCCGAGGCTCCGTTGTGCATCCGCGGGGTAGTAGGCCCCGATTCCTTACCCTGAGTTGCAGGGGTCATGGTCGTCCTGGAGGATCGGCGCGTTGAAGAGGCCGGTGTAGAGAGATAGCGCTGCAGAGAGGTCTGAGACCACTTCCCGTAGCTGGAGCGCGATTTGTTCTTCTTGGACATTAAGAATATGAAGGTAGAGGATGTTAGATCAACTGAAAAGTCCCAGGCAGGTGCAGAGCTCAGGCAATGTGCTTCCTCACGCCGCCATAGCCAAGCCACGCCCCCAGGCAGATCGTACTTGTGATCATCGCAAGCCCGCCCCGCTGAGGGGAGGGCTTGCCGATGATTGCAATGCTGAGCGGGCAGTGTGCGCTTGTGCACATTGGCCCGTGCGGCTTTCGACTTCCGAGCACGCTACCAATCCGCCAAAAATCGTACGATGTTCGCCAGGTTTTCCAGCGTGCTAGGAAAGACAAAAGTCATGTGACCGTACAGTAAACTGCGGTCGCACGCTGCCCATACACCTGCCGATTATCATGCGATCCCGGGGTCACCCGCGATTATCGTACGATAGTCGGCAGGTGTATGGGCACCTTTAGGGTGCAAACAAAACAAACTTATTTACATAAAAAAATGTTGCTTGTTTTTTTTTTGTTTGTTTGTTTTACAATTTTGTGCATATATATGCAACACAAACAAAAAGAAAACGGAACAAGCAAAACAAATGAAAAAGGGAACACTGTAATGGCTCAATAAATAAAAATAATATTCAAAGAAAACCGCATCATAAAAATACTAGTAATGGGAAGAAGGACGGATGATTAGGGATAACTGAGGGGTCACAATTT